TGAGCTGAAAGTTTGGGTTAAAGTTGACCTCTAGTAAATGCATATGCATATGGGGTCATCAATTAACATATGGGGTTACTCGAGGTCGAGGTCAGCAATTAGCATATGGGGTTACTAAAGGTCAACATGAATAAAAATTTTAGCTCGGGGTTACTTGAGGTCATCAATTAGCATATGGGGTTACTCGAGGTCATCAATTAACATATGGGGTTACTAAAGGTCAACTTTACCCCAAACTTTCAGCTCAGGGGTTACTTGAGGTCATCAATTAACATGCGGGGTTACTCGAGGTCAGCAATTAGCATATGAGGTTACTAAAGGTCAACATGAATAAAAATTTTAGCTCAGGGGTTACTTGAGGTCATCAATTAACATATGGGGTTACTCAAGGTCAACTTTCACCCAAAATTTTAGCTCAGGGGTTACTTGAGGTCATCAATTAACATATGGGGTTACTCCAGGTCAGCGATTAGCATATGGGGTTACTAGAGGTCGCCAATTACCATATGGGGTTACTTGAGGTGAAACTGCCTCTTCAGGCAACACACTGGGGTTACTTGAGGTCAGCAAATTAGCCCATGGCGTTACTTGAGGTCAAAGTACTGCCTTGAACCTTCACTTGTTGACCTGTAATGACTTGTTTTTTTCTTTCATGTGTCACATCATGGTACCTATTTATTACTTTGGTCTGTCACATCTTCAGTAGGCTTGTTGACGTGTCTCTATGGTGGCTCTACTGTAGTTCCCACACACCTGCTATGATGCCTGGCAGTTCTGGTTTCCTTTCTCCACCCTTCCTTTGTTGTTTGTGAAGAGCACGCTGGGCCTGCACCTCTGTGGGGCCATCATCGTGCCTGCTCCACTCAGCCTCTCTTCTTCCCCCATCCTGTGTGCGCCAGTGTCTCTCGGCTTGTCTACACAGGGGCTCTGCTCCCCAGCCCACCCCATTGCCCCTCACACATTCAGTTTTGTTTGGGGAATATGAGGATACAGCTGCATTTGGAGCAGAAAAAGACCTCAAGCTCTGTCTTTTCTGCATGCTACAACTGAAGCTTTGAGTACATCTGTCCATACATACCTTTACCATCGCATATAGCAGTTGCAGATTTGTTGATATATGTTTAAAAGACACCAACAGTTTGAAACTTCAAAACAACACTTTATTCGATGGACATTCATTAACAGTACACACCACCAATGATTACTTACTTACTCTGTGTATGTTTTTTCTTAGCTCTTCCATAAAATTCCCATTCCTGATTTTGCTGTTAGAATTTATACCATGCTATAAAATGCTTACATGCAGTCACTGGTTACATTATCTTAGCGTGCCTATGTCTGTGTTTAAGGCAAGCCTTCTATCTTGCTTAACAAACAACTTATTTCTTCTTTTTGTAGGCAACAGGCCACCACTTTGGCTACCTTGCTCAGCGGTGGGTTGCCGTTCAGCCACAATGGTGAACGGCCCTGTTGGAGTCCTCTTGAAGGACTACGTGTTTACTTGAGGGAAACTGTAGAGAAAATGTCATTCTGGGGAGGTTGCTAAGACTTACTCTAGACATGTATGTCCTCAGACATGAATAAATGGATAAACTTTCCCCCAGCAGGTTCCCAAGACTTACTTCAGTTAGGTATGTCCTCAGACAGGCTTTCCCCCATTAGCTGCCATCTGCTGTTGTGGACCACAAGAAGTGGAGAGCAGCTGTTGTCTTTTCCTGAGCCCCATCTGAAAGGAGAGCTCTAGTAGCACTGTCGACCTGAAGGGCTTCTCTCCTGCATAACGTTTCTCCTCTCTGGGCCAGAGCCAAAACATCTCTGCAAGCATTGCAGGAGCTAGTGAGGCCTGGGCTGGGGAAACAGGTTGCCTGCACTTCTCTTCTGGCTGCACTTCTGAACTCCTAAGGGGAGTCTTGGGACTTGGCCCACCCTTGGGTAAATGTGGTCATGTTCCCTTACGATTTGCCATGAGCCATCCAAAGTCCTGAAGATAAAGAGCAGTGAGAGACAAGTTCTTCATCTCTATGTGTCTGTATCTCACCTGGAGAAAGCTGAGTGTTGCCTGAAATTGGGAGGAATGAAGTGGAAGGCATGCGACTTCTGTCCTGGGACAGAAAGGAGGCAGGAAAGGAAAAGCTATTTTTAGGTACATGTGAAGGGACTGCCTAGCTCTGTAAACATTTGGGCCATTCCTATGGCTCACACTGGAATTGACAGTGCCTCCAACACAGGCTAAGACAACCCACTCTTCGTTAGACCCCCTGGTAGGAATTCCTTCTTACCTTTGTATTCAAGATCTTGAGAGAGAGAAAATCCCAGTCTTGACATTGACTCGAGTCAAGGTCTCAAAATGTAAGGTTGCCTCATGGAGAAGGACGGAAATGAACAGGAAAGGGGATGCAAAATAAGTCAAGAAGAAGAAACATAAAAGCAAGAAATACTAAAAAAACTAGAGCCCAGAATCTGATTAGGGGCAGCCAGAATCCAGGTGCACTCACGCCTTAACGCCCAGAGCCAGGGATTTTAGCAAAGCACAGCAAAAATACTTGCTGGGAAGATGGGGCTAGCTATCTTCAGCTGAGTTCCTCTCCCTCTGCCTGGTGGGAGCCGTGCTCGTCACATCTAGTGCAGTAGTTCAGAGGATGCTGGTTTTGGTTGCCAATGCACACCCAAGTGACCTGCCCGACACACCAGGAGTTACAGGCAGCGTGTGCTCCTGGAGATCAGAGGGGACGACCAAGGGCTCTGCCCTAAAGACCTTGGCTACAGTAGTTGAAGTTGTGGCTAAGTCATCACCTCGCCTTCAGTGGTGATCAGATGCCAAGATCAGCGCTAGAGGAGTTGTGTATTCTCCTCTGGGGAAGCCGAATTGGGTGAGGGGTGTATCCTGGCACTTAAAGTAGGCGGAGTGGGACTTACCGCTGTGAGCAGTCACTGTGCCTTCCCACGGTGTGCCTGGGGGCTTGGTGTCCGTCTGGCTGGGTAGACATGTAACATTCCTTTTCCAGGTACAACCTCCAGCACTGTAATCCAAATCAAAATTTTAAGTGTGTACAGTTTTGTTGAATGCAGAATACTGTAAGCATAATTTTTAGAGCTTACTCATGTTGGAAGATGAGATTTGGATTGTGTAGCCTGTCATAAAATGAAAAATCTGCCTAGTAATCATATCTAATTATTACTTTATTTTGTCACTGTATGTTTATGATTGTCTCTTCTGTAGAGTATCTTTACAAATGGATATAAGGCCATGCTGTCTGACACCAAAGCGCATTCTTCCTCAGAAAATAATACAGTTAAGAGAAAATATTTGGTCTTTTTCTAGTTATGACCCAGTATTTTAGTTTCACTTCCTCTCTCTGTATTAGGTGACTTACTTATCTATTTGGGAATTCTCCAACTCGATCAGAATGTGATTGCTTTAGGATAGGTTATGAGATTTTTAAAAATCATTATTAAATCAAAGCCAATAACCATTACAGAACCGTGATACTAGAAAATAGTAATAAAAATTGGTCATGCATTAAGAATCCACATCTATAGATACAGGTATAGATATACTGTCAGAGCAAGGTACAGATTTAGCAGTATTTGGGCAGCTGTAGATACCTAAAAGCATAAGGCTAAGCAGCATTAATTTTAAAGGGGCATAGATTTTCACTACTTTTTAGCTTCGAATGATGTGCTGTGCGTGTTCGAGAAAAAAAGAAAGGAGAGAGGAGCAGCAAAAGGTCTGAAGGATGAAAAACCCTTCCCATTCTGCTTGCAAGCCTGTACCCGCCACCAGAAAATGGCTGCGGAGTTCCAACTTCTCTATCACAAGGGCTGTTCAGCAAGCAAATGTCTGATTATGGTATAGCAGTTCTAATACTCTTCTATTCTCCTACGCTCTTATAATCAATTGTGTTTGAGAATGGGCATGACAAAACTTCTTGCTCATCGCGCAATCTTTCCATTATTTTCTTTACCTTGTGGCAGTGCTTGGATTTGTTAACATCTTGGGCTCTCCTTTGCATCTTCCTGAAATAAGATAAATGCTCACAAAAAAACCTGCAGAGGAAAAGACAAGGAATGACACCATCCTGCAGAATTTAACATAACTGGATATGACTTCATGAAGACAAATCTACGAAAGAAAATTGATTGGTCATTTATTCAATCAGTGTAGTTGCTCTGCTTCTAAGCTGTTATATTGATGTGTGTCTTCTCCTGTTCCTTCATCAGGAATTAATCTCTTCACTATTATATATCGATACAATAATACCTCTGAGAGAGGTCTCGGGGTGCTCCATGGTATTGTACCCTAGACAGGAAACTTCCAAAGCAGTCTTAGTTTCAGATTTTCACTGTTGTGGTTCACCAGTACAGACAGACAAATGAATATGCACATTTCTGATGTACTCTTAACAAAAAATATCCCTTTCAAATGGTCTTTCATCAAACTTCTGGGTTAAAATTTACTTACTGCAATGTTTTGCTGAATTTCATCGTGAAGATTGCTTGTTATCCATGCCAACTCAGGGACCCAGTTTCAGGTGGTTGGCTGCAGGATTGAGGACCTATTCACAAACACATAGAAATCCCATTAACTTCATACTTTTAACTATGTCCTAAGCTTTGATGCTAAAACAGCTAAAAGCCTGTTTCTCCGTTTCTTCCCTTTCAGAACGCCAGTACTGGGGCTCAGACCTGCAGCTTCCTGAAATGCCTTTTGAAGAAGTCATGTACAATGACGAAAGCACGTACAAGTGGCTGTGCACCCTAAAGAAAGTAGGAATCGTGCTACTAACAGGAGCTGCTACTAGGCAGGGAGAGTTGGTTAAACTTGGCCACAGGATTGGGTTCCTGCGTCTCACTTTTTATGGGTGAGTTTGATTTTTAATATCCTTGCTTTGCCGGATGTGGAATCACCTCTGACGTACTTCAGCTTGCTGGACCTATTTTGTGGATTAATTTATTAAAATAAGGTGAAATTACTTTTTTTCTCTGCATGTTAGAAAATGTGTCATCAATTAATATTCTGCGTGACAGGATTGCTTTGCTGTCACAGGGAGGGTGTGTAAAGAAGAGCAGCGGTAACATTAAGAGCTGAAAGAAGGAAAAATGCCTGAAAACAGATGATGTCAAATAAAAGATAACCACAAGATAGCTGTACTTATCCATAGCATGGAAGAAAATTAAAAACTTAATCCAGTCCCTTTCTGAATAGAGGAAGTTGTCTGTACTGAAACTTTTTCTTAGCCTGATATGGAAATGTAATGGAAATAGGTAAGACTTAGATGATGTTATTGGGTCTCACATCACCAAGAGGATGGGCAGAGTGCCCATTTCCCCTCTTTGAACTGAATATGCTCTGGAAAGGCACAACCAGTCCCAGCAAGCATTTTTTTAAGACTGCTTTTTTTGCAAAAGTAAAAGCTCCACCTGCAGGAGTGCAAGCAGGAACTTGTAAATCAACCTTTTGATGCGAAGAGGTGATAAAGGTGAACCTCTACCTCCTCACACACTTACTAGGCGATGGTAGCTCACATCTTGCTGAGCTGAGTCAGTGACCTCCATCTAGCTAAGTGAAGGAACAGCATTATTAGCTAACATATTGCCCTGTCCGTCACACCCAGCTGTTGGTATAATTTTTTAAAACATACATAAAAAAAATTATTACTTGGACATGCACTTGTTCTTAAAAAAAAAGATGAAAATAGATAGTAACACTTAAACACAATTGTGATTTCTTGGTGCCTGAATAACCACCAAAACCAGAACATTCAGGGGTTTCCATCTGAAAAGGTCCCTTCTCCCCCATAATAGAATGATGGATAATAAAAAATACAGCAAGAGTTCTCTTTCACATGGATTTGCCTCTAGTTCAAAGAATAAGCAAAAAAAAACATGTGGGTAATCACCGGTGTCTCCTCCTTTGTCTAGGAAAAAAAGCTAAAATAAATAGAAGTGGGGAAAAAAATTCAACCTTGGCCAGAAAAACCACATTCCCTCAAGACCGCAAGTCAGAAAGGAAAGATTTTCTGCCCCTTAACACTCCTGTGTGAAGGCACGTATGAGCCTCACATCTGAGGAGCAGTGCAATGCAGGTGAGGTTGGTAAAAGCGGCACTGTGATACCAGGAAAAATACATTAACTTGGAATCTTAATTGTGAGGTGAAGGGGAGGAAGATGAACAAAAGGTCCTCTCTTCAAGCTATGATGCTTATTAAGACTTACTGTTGCATCTTCATTTTGCAAGTATCATTCCATCATCAGCTATGGGAAAAGATGTCATTGATGCTGCCAGCTTTTACATCTACTGAACAATTTCTAAGAGGCAGAGAAATAGCTGCTGTGATACACTAGCAACTTCTAGCATAAGTTGCTTCTGACCCAGTTGCCATCCTTCATTTTTGTTTCATTATGTTGAAAGTCAACCTCGTTTCAATCAGGAAAGCTGGCTCAAGAAACCTAGAAATTGTCAGAAACTGAAGTGAACACATAGCACGTAGAACAGCCTGTGAGAATGGCATTTTAAGATCCTTTTTTTTCCTATTGTCTTCCAAAAAGAGGAGATGGAGACAGTAACTGCTTTAAAATACCATGACTATTATGAAGCTTTTTTATCAGTTCCAGCAGCCATGGTAAATATTTGTAAAGCTTTAAAGGGAGTAATGTATAAATGTACTAGGGTAGTTAAGATAATGTCCTTTCATTAAGGTGTGGTTTCCTCTTTCTGCTTACAGTGCCAGAAGGAAAAGTGGTTTTCAAAGTTAACTGGGATTCAGTCGGGTTAACACGACTGAAATGAATGGGGGCAGAACCCCCTGCTCAGCTCGAAACCTCATCCAGTGCTACGAAACCTTTTCTACCATTAAAAGCATTCCTAGTGTCAAGCACGTCTGTGTTTGGCGGTCTACTATGGTCTCAATTTAAAAACTTGCATCATTATGAAAATACTCCTGCTTTCTATTTCTGTTTTGACAGAACATAACTGACACGAGGAGATTCTTAGGGGTATCCAATCCTGATCCTATCTGAGCGTATTTCACAGCTTTCCTCGGTAGCTGAAGGATGAAACATTCTTTCTGGTTTTATCCAGAGAGCTGCACAAGCATTTTGAGTCAGGAACATCCATAGCAAGCCCCAGAAAACAACACAGAAAGTTGGTTCTTTGTTAAAGCAAGCCACTGAAAGAAAACAGATCTCCAAAATACCTCAGAGGAGAGAAAAAACAAACAAAGCTGAACGACAAAAACCCCATACAACCCCTTCAACATATACCATGGATTTGTGCTTGGGTTACAACAGAACCTTTAATTACTTTCCTAAATTTCAGGGATGAGGAACTGGAACCTAGAAGAAGTTCCTAGGTCCTAAAATTGGAAATTATCTCTAAATCTTCTAGACTAATGTTCTTGACATGGCAGCCCACTGTATTTCACCATGTCCATTTGCTGAGCCCTGTAACATGTTTTTCACTAAGGGATTCAGAAGTTTTCGATATTTAATTCAGCAGTGTTGTAAGATTAAAAACAAATCTACCATTCTGCCTGGTACTCTGCCTCAGCTCTTAATCATCCTTGGTGTTGAAAATTACTGCCAACTCTCTCTCTGAAACTCTCTGCAGCATCCAGCTTGTGATAACTCTGCTATGTTTAAGAAAGACTGAAAAGTCCCTTACTATATAAATGTGCATTAACTGTTAGGATACTTTCCTTGTCTAAGCACAGCTAAGAAGAGATTTGGACTGCCCTAGGAAGACTTGCCAGTTTATCAGCCGTGTCATTAGAATGGGTTTTTTCCAATTAAAAAAAGTTAGTCTTGCCCCTCACTGACTCTTCCTTTGATAAGATTATAAACAATAACGATTGTTAAATGCTTCATCTTGTCTCAAGTCAGCTTGAATTAATGTTGACTCTCTTTAAAGATGGTTTCAAAAAACGTAATTTGTCAGGATGAGTTCTGAGTCTTGCGGGGGGGGGCAGGTGTTAAAAGTGTTTTAATACAGCCCGCAAAGAACCTCCTGCCCATTAATGCTCCATACAAGATCAAGGTTGAAATGTGACCTTAGTCCACAAGTGATGGTTAGAGCTCCATTCACTGTTTAAATCAGATTTACTATCGGTATTGATTAAACTTTATGTTTCCTTAAGTATTAGGATTCACAGTAGAGAAACAATAAAGAGTCTCCTTGCTTTTCCAAAACCTGTTTGCTAATTCATGCATTTATTAGGCTGCAGAATGAGTGTTTCACCGTTAAGAAAATTTTCCAGTTGACTAAGGATTCTGCATTTAAAAGAAAACATACTTAGTTGAGTTGAGTTTTGTTTTTTCTCTTTTGCTTTTTAAACACAGTTGTAATATTTGAAAGTCTTGAAGTCTGGTTTACATCATCCCAGTTGAGCCATCATGGTTAGATTTACTCTAGGTCATCTGACAGTTGCTAATTATGTTTCTATGTATGACTAGGTTGATTTTGCAATATTACATTAAAATCTGAAGAGCATAAGGTCAAAGTGAGCCTGACATCCAAAGACCAGTTTTGCAGACTGGTCTGGATTTCAGGTAACAAAAACCAGTTCTGCCACAGAGTAAAGTCAACGAGCTACGTACAGACCAAGGTCCAGCTCTGGGAAAAAAAGACTGGATGCTGCAGAGCTAAAGGACAGGCACAGTTACAAAAGGGGTGAGATGTGCATGATACAATATGCATATTAGCAGAGCCGAGACCTTCGAGGGGAGAACCCAAACTGTTGAATGCATTTTCTTTTTTAGAATATGTTGCCAACTTGCAAGGAGAGCAAGTAACTGTACACAGAAAGGCAGCCCGCTCTGGAGCTCAGAGCCAGGCTCAATGAGCTGATTTGGGGCGAGCGTGCTCTTCCTTACGTCTTGGCTTTCATTGCTGCAGTTCAGAGATCAGACACTGTTTAGCTGTCTCTGAGATGCACTGTAAGGATGCCTTTGTTAAGGCTACAGAGTAAAAGCATACCTACTCGAACACAACGCTCGCGGTGGTGCGAAGGGAAGCTGCCGGCACGGTACGGCGCAGTCACCCTGCCAAGGAGGTGCACAAGACGAGTTTGTTACCTGAATCGATGATCCTTGACCCAAAGCTTACTTGCAGGCAAAACCGCCACACCGCTTCTGAGCGCCGACTTCTCAATGCGTCGTGAGGCGTCGTTGGTTTATCTTTTATCTCTGTTTAAGAGGAGTTTCTCTGATCGCAAAGGCTGCAAACAGAAAGTTGGGTTGCAAAACGTTACACCTTTTCAGAAGAGTTGTTCTCCAGTTTGCTGCACAGCTATCAACCGAGCCTCCGTCCTCCCCGAGCCCATGCACATGTGGAGAGGCACGTATGTTGCAGCCTGACCGCTTCAGCAATGACAGGCTGCTCTCATCGCCATGCTGGCGATGCTAACGGTTACTGCTTTGTGTGTTTGGGGTTTTTTTAATGACCATGCTTTTTCCTTAAGAACTGTGCTTGGAGAATAAATAAAAAAAGAGAGAAGGAAGAAATCCCAAAATACAGGAAAATACAAGCAGGATCATGCAGAAAATTTCTATTGTTACGTGTAGTGGTTTAAGAAACTATCCATAAAGTATTTTTTAAAAAGTACGTCACAAAACTAGTTTCAAGTGTTTTAATTCAGATGTGTATGAAGTGGTAACTTGCTAAATGTGTCAGAAAGTAGTGACAGAACTGTATTGAAGCAGCTCAATAACACAGTGTTTGTTAAATGTGTAATTCATTCAAAACTTAAATGGTTTTGGCTTATTTTTTGGATATTTGGGGGTGTTTTACAAAGAACAAATTTCATAGTTTTTTGTCACCTATATCTGGAATCCAGCCTAAATATATTAAAGAGGAGAAGAGACTTCTTTCTGTATAGTATCTTTTCTCCTAATCTATCCTGTTTCATTTTCAGCTGTAGTTACTGTAGTACCTGGTCTTGTTGCTCTTACATCTTTCTTGCAGTGGCAGAAAATCCATTGAGTTTTCAGTCTTAACAACAGACTTAGAGCAGCATTTTATAGTCCACCTCTTTGCCTCTAAAACAGAAGTTCATTTCTTACTGGCATCCGATTCTGAGGTGGCTTTTAAAACTGTCATAAAATAATAACTTTGGGTAACTCCCTTGCTATTTCACTAGCAGCCAAATACAAGGCCTACTGAATATTATAAATAAAAGGATAAATTTGGAATTGGCAAGCTTGCCAAATAAAACATTACCTCAACCAGCTATAATTTTAAACGGAAATGTAACGGCAATGAATATAACCCTGACACATGGAAAAACAAAAGCCTTTTTTCTTGTCTAGATGTCTGTATGGTATATGCTGCCCAAAATGTCATTACTGTAAAAACTGGAAATGTTCTCTGTATCAGCCATAACACAACATCAAGGGGTTCCACACTTCTAAATTAACCTTTTTTCTTTACGTTACAGAGGCACAACTCCATTAACAAGGTCTCCAGTCACACCACAATTCGTTTCTCCAACTTCTCATGCCCGAGACCTTGTGCTCCTCCCCTGTTCTGAAGCCTTGACCAGGGCTTGGGGTGGCATGAAGAGCCTCCTTCGGGGCCCCAGCACTCCCACTGAAATAGCCAAACCACCTGCACCTCTCAGAGGGCTTCAGCTGCACCAGAATGCTTCAGTGGGCTCCGAATCTCTTATGAAGGAGACTTAGCACTTTATTAAAGTGCAAGACCAGATGATTGAAGCGTGGCTTCAGTCCCTAGTGCAGCAGTTTTGCAAGACTAAGGATCTAACAGCCAGGCTAGTTTTCTGCTCGGGGACACTGAGCCCACATTGCCACTTAATGCAAAAAATTGCTACACCTGTCTGGTGCCAGATTTCCTTCTCTGTCAAACAGCCCGAGCAGCTGATGTTAAAATCTGACCCCCATTACAAAACCGTAAACCAGTCCACCCCACTTTGCTCTCCCTAAGGGCCAAGAGTCCTCTGACATTACCTGCATTTTCTTCCTTCACTTCTCGCGCGCTCTCCCCATGACTGAGTGGATACTTCAGGTCAGCTGACACTTTAACAAAGTAAGGCTGATTCTTCCACGTTCAGCGCCGAGCTCCCTATTAGCATCGCTGACTTCAGGTCAGTAACTTTAGCCTTGACCAAAGCTCCTTGTGTAGAAGGAAAGCTCCCAGGGACCAGCTCCCCTCGCAAAGCCTGGCAGCGCGAAAGCACTGACCGCTGTCGCAAAACCTTACAATGATTTTACAAAGTACTACTGTTCCAGCAATTGTATATATTGCATATAAATAAGACAGTTAAAATGTGTTAAATTGTTTTAGAACCATCAAGTGACACCAAAGCCTTTGAAGACATAATGAAGCTAGCTACCCTCAACACTAACGACAAGGATGATGATAATAATGGGCTATTGCGGGGCTGTAAAATTGGGAACTGTGGACCTGTGGTTGAAATTATCATACCTGAGTACTGAAGTCATGTCCTGATGAATATGTGCTATACCAAATAATAAAAATTATTTCTCCCAGGCAGTTAAGCACACTTGCAAATATTCAAGGGGTTTTCCCCCTGGCAATTTCCAAAATTTAGTTTTAGCATTTTGCATAGTTTTCAGTTGCATACTAAATATCAGTCCTGGAACAAAAGTGTTTGTATACTGTATAAAAATCATTTTGGTCCGCATGTTCTTTAGCCTATTTTCTTTTTAAACTATTATTAAGAAGCAATGCTAGACACACGCCATCTGAAACATATTTGGTCTATAGTACTTCACAAGGGAAAATGAGTTTCATATTTTCTTTTAAGTCACTTATGTTCCTGTGATTATGTGGACTGCGTATGGCGGCGTACACTTTTCCAGGAAAACGTCTGGATCTGTAACACGCGTCTGCCGAGGGCTGTCTTCAGTCGTGTGAGCTCTGTACCAACAAAACGGGTGGTTCCTGGTCTTAAATTCTCCTGCATGGTGTGTCACTTGAAACAGATGCTGCTTGTGCTGCAATGCGATGTATTCATGTCTTTGTCACGTAACTACGACTTTTTTTCCCCTGCAGTTATCAGTAAACTTTTTTACTGAATTTTGTCAAATTTCCAGACAGAAACTCTGTAACAAAATAAATGAGGGTAGTTCTTAGAGTCAGAGAAAGGGAAGAAGTTACAGGCTTTCACCAAGACATCTTCCTTTAGCAACAAGTCTTCAAGTTACAGGAAAGATCCTCCTGCAAAGGATACTCTCTATTTTCTAAGATCATAAAGCTTTAAAAATAATTCTTGGGGAAAGTTACATAGCATTTAACAATTTCATATTTCATTGATAATGTGCTCTACCTGGCAGGGAAATTGGAAGGTTGATAAAAAGAAGTGGGCCAACTTCCACTCTCTTATTTCTGAAGCCTCAGTAATAAGATGATGATTTATCCTGGCAGATTCCTCCTGGTCAGTGTCTTCAGCTGATCTCTGCATTCAGCAAAGTGCCGCCACTGGCAAGCCATCATTCTTCTAGCTACTACACTGGGGCCAGATGTCCCTTGGCACACTTCAGTTTCTAGCTTGAATCGAGGGCTGCTGAAATAAGCCTTATTTGCTGGGGTGGGGGACACTGCTAAATAATTATTCCTGAATAATTTTACAATGTTTTCATGTTCAAAGATGGAACGACTGTCTTGTACTGTGCTTTCACAGTTTCAGTGTGTACTGCCTGGCATGCTGGCTTGCTGTTTTAGCATGTTTTCTCTTTTCCCTTTCATTATAAAGACCAACTTGGCAAGTGCAAGACAAAGTAGATGCTAACAATGTGGCTTACACAACTGGGAAGCTATGTTTTCACACCGATTACCCTGTTCTGCAGCATCCACCTGGGGTAAGGTGAACCCACCAACTTTTTTACAACACAAATTTTGTCTTAAAATCTGAATTTTGTCTTAAAAGAGCAATATAAAGTAAGGATATATTAATCTGCATGTAACAATCTCGATACATAAGGTATGCAATATATACATTATGATGTAATTTCAGCATAACAAACCCGTTATGTGTGCCATAATTTTTAAGTGGAAACTCACAAAGTACTGCGAGTACTACCATATGAGAAAGCATTAGGTCCTGTATGTGCTTTTGGTACCGTTTTCATCATATTGAAGAAGTTGGGCGTCTAGATGTTGTAGTCAAGTTGTGACATTTTAGGACACATCTGGTCACCTCAGGAGGAGAACATATTAGAAGAAATATGATTAAGGTGTTGTTTTCTATGAATTAAGTTAGACACGTATTTGCCCCTTCGTAATAGCAAAAAAGGGGCATTCTGTAAAGCTGGACAACAACCATTGGAAATACATTTTCACCTGGTCCCTGTCATATCAAATCCTGATCCACATAATTCACCAGAGAAATGGAAAGTAGTAGGAACAGGTACAAAGGAACTAAAGATAATCCTGGAAAAGTTTGCATCCATAAGCTTCATACCTACAACTTCCCCTTCTAATATTTTGGAGTACTTTGTGTCAGTTGTTTCTATAATTAAACAAAAAAAGCAATGTAATTTATCAACAAGTAAGTGCCAAATACTTCACACTAACATCACTAAAATCATTTAGATGCTGTTCATTGATGTGGAGTAAGAGTGGAATAGGGCTTCATTAATACACTTCAGTTTCCCCCTTCATCGCCATCGTCAAGGTCTGTGGGTCTAGCTGGTGAGGAGATTCTGGGACAAACCCTGTTCTCTGCTCCTCTTTCTGCTCCTGGGATTTTTTTTGTTTTTTCTCCTAGTGGTCTCAGAAATATTTCACCGTCATGGAAGGGAAAGGTGAACGCTGTTACTGCTGGTATGAAAGATATATTTTGTGCAGTTTGGCTGAGATGAACGGTTACACTTTGTGTGGTGCTGGGCTCTCTAATGCCATGGAGAGTTTTACTGCCTGTGTCAGCAGCTCAGATTTACACTGGTGCAACCAAGAGCCCAGGTTAGGCTTTGTGCTCCATCTCATGCCTTGGCAATTTCACTGCGAAGTGAAATGAAACTGTCTTAATCCTACTTTATGGTAGAGACACTGGGCTTGTTGCCTTCTACGAGAGCCACCTTTTCCCCTCCATGAGCAGATAACTCACAGTAGGTTTTGTTTCTGCAAGAGAAAACTAATCCTCCTTTGTTGAGATAAGATTGCAACGCATTTAAAATACGACTGCCGCAAAGAGGGACTCAAAGGAGAGAAGCGAGCCCAGAGCTTTGCAGTTGACTCACAGGTTGCAAGCGCCAGAAGATACCCCAAATGGGATGGATTTATGAACATGCTACTTTAATTTTCTGCCTGTGTGATAGCGGTGGCAGAAGCTGCAATAATGGGAACGCGGTCTTCTGCTGGCAAAAAAACAACCAAAGAAAAAAACTGAGAACCACAGATATGAGGGAACTGATACTAATGATCTGTTAAATATGCAAGCTAATTCTTCTCGTAATGAGATGTTAATTCATTCCAGGTTCAGTTTCTCCACTGTATAAAGCAAACAGCTGCAGGAGGTGAAAGTGAAGCTGTAGATGGATTTCACGTATCCAACAAGCTGAAGAAACAAAACCCTCAAGCGTATCAGATCCTGTCCTCTACTGCTGTAGACTATACAGATGTTGGGGTGGACTACTGTGATTTTGCTGTGCAATGTAAACAAAGGATTATAGAGTGAGTAGTTTCAACAACATCGAAAAATAAAATCCCTGTGGTATGGTGGAGTACATGGTGGTGGGAGAAGGTCTGCTCCTGCCACCTTGTGGGGAACCGCTGGTTTAACCTGGTCTGTAGTTTTTTGGGGTTTGTTTTTTTTTCGGTTGGTTGGGTTTTTTGCCAGTGTATTACTTGTTCTTTGCTTTGTACCACCACAGCATAGTTTTCCATATTTTGTTTTGCCACACAGCAGCAAGAAGTGGTGGTAATTAGAGCAATTCCTCGGTACAGACGCAGCTTAACAGCAGCTGGGTCTGTTACTAAATTCCAGCTGATGTACCTCTGCATCGTGCCAAAGAGAGGTCATAATTTGAAGCATTTAGATTAAGAACAATGTATTATAAAAAGCTCAAATGCAAATGATCACAATCTCTTCTGAATTTAAGGAGTTTACAAGTCTACAATTAAAGTGTGTAGAATGTAGATGTTTGAGGAATCAAGTGTCTGCACTTTCTCCTGATTATCCCTTTTCCTAATTAGGCTTAATTATAAAAATCCAACCCAATAACAATCTGAATTTCTCTACAGAAACATACTGAAATTCCGGCAGGAGAGTTCAGTTGCTGTTTAACCATCTTAAAACATTTCACTAACAAAATAAATAATACATTCCTTTTCCTTTCCTTCTCTGTTTCATAGTGTGGATTCCAGAGGCCAAGCAATTCGCATCAATTATAATAATGCAACAAGAGACACAGTGTTTGACATACCAGCTGAAAAAGTGAGGCCATTTTATGCAGCTCTAAAGGAATTTGATGATTTATTAAACAGCACAGAACACAAGTTTACTTATAAGCTGAAACCAGGTCAGTAAGTTGCTTCTCCTCGTAGTGATTTTTCACATGATTTTCTTAAGAGTCAACACAGTTGAGCATTGTTAGCACTGGTACTGCGAGGAAATTGCAGTCCTTCTCTCACCTATTTTATTTCCTATTGCATCCTTACATTCATCTCATAGATTTCTTCTGCCATTATTACACTATAAAGAAAAAAAAAAAGGCAGGAGGGGAGAGAGTCTATCTATTGATTAGTCCGATGTATCTTTATATTACGTCAAAAACCCATACCATAAAGGAAATTGTAACTTGTCATCTGAATAGCACCACAGATGGGAAGGATCACGTGTCGGGGTGCTGTGCCAGCCCAGTTCAGTGGCTGTTCACTAAGCGATACACAATCGCATATTTTTTCCTCGGCTTCGTTGGATGCAGAGCATGGACGTTAAGCCAAATGACACGTCTGTCTTTACGACACTTTAATTTGTTAGTGGGGCACCTTCCCAATGGCTGCGGGGGTCGCAGGACGCCTGGAAGATGACACAGATGCCTCATGTGGGTAACGCGGAACGGCGCCGCGGGGAGTTGAGTTACCATCTTTGCTGACGCCGAACGCCGGCGTAATGCCGGGTGAACTACCGAAGGCCGCCGCTGCTCTGCTGCTTTTTCTGGGTGGTTTATGTGAGACACCTGGAGGCAGATTTGCAGAAGTGCCAAGTGCTCTACCCTTCAGCTAGAGTCGTACAAGGCTGCGCTTTGGGCATAAAACGTGCTGCAAAAATGGCCTTTACTCTTTAAAAGTCAGTCCGTGCACATATTTAACTTATTTGGCCTTAATCTCTCTTCTTCCGTTCCCCAGCTATAAAATAAAAATGTGAATAGCCCCTCATCTCTCAAGAGATGTTACAAAAGTAAATTCATTAGTGCATCCGACTGCCTCATGTACTATGATGCTAGTGTCTTTAAAATGTTATGAGGAAATGAATCTCTGCTGGGAACATGCAATAAAATAATTTATAAGATCACATAGAAAATGGTAAAACAAAGTACCTCACATTACATTAATACCATCCATCCCATCAATTAACACACCAAAATGGTGGTAGAGGGGAGGGGGAGGAGGAAAAAAAAGATTATAAGGTTATTTAATTAGAGATTTATCATAATGGTGGCACACAAGGGAGGAAAATTAAAATGGCATGCTAGCCTTAATTATGTGACTTCCTAATTTTCAATGGCTTGACTTCGTTCTCGTAAGATTCTCTTAACAGGGTCAGTAATGCAGGTTACGTATAGTACAAATAGTACCACAGTATCAAATAAAAATCATCCTAGTGGCTTTTACCCTTTTTATCCTTCCTGTGGATTTGCTGTAGTCGCCTTGCTCCTCCAGGCCTGCTTTTCTCAGCGTGGACTCCCCTACCATTCTGCTTTTTAACTCTTGATTATACAAAAAATGAAGCAGGGGTCAAAAGGGACCTGCCTTCTCTGGGTGAGAATGACCAGCTAAATTAAAATTACTGCATCAGTACTGCGGATCTCCAGCTGAGCTACTTGAAATCATTGCTCCCTAACTGTTGATATAAATCCCCCTCCATGTTATCCGTTTGAAGGAATCAACTATAACGTGCCAAATACTAAACTTCATGCAATCTCTTTGTAGGTGACATAGTGACGTTTGATAACTGGCGCGTGCTTCATGGTCGCCAGAGCTACCAGTCGGGGTCAGAAGTGACTCGTCACCTGGAAGGTGCCTATGCAGACTGGGATGTGGTCATGTCAAGGCTCCGGCTCCTCAGGAAAAAGGTCCTGAATAGGGACTGAGCTTTCTTCTAACTAGAATGAGCAAACCCTAGATTGTCTAACCTCAAAAAAAAAAAACCAAAAAAACTGTGTTTTCTTTTCAGAAACTATCATCATGAATATCTTTTTGAGTTCCATAAGCTAAGAAACCTGTTGTTCGTAACAATTAAAGATTTGTCTGTGCCCTGGTCTTTGAATCTATAAAATGCATTGCTACCTCTGTCGGTTTATTTGCTTTTTAAAATCAGTGTGCAAAATTGCTTGAAAGATTATCGCTTTACTGGGCTGACTGGGTATCACAATGCCTTAATTTTCCTCTACAAATATACCTGCCCTCCCTAGAAAGCTTGGAAAGGAGCATGCAAAAAGAGCTTGTAAGTATTACTTACTAATGATTTGTTACGAACAGCACCTTCCTCTATTTTCAGAAAGGCATTCTTTATTGCATAAATCATAACTAAAATTCATTATCAAAATAAGCAACCACTGCTGTGGAGTTATTTTTATATAGACACCTTTCTAGGCAGAACTCCACTTCAAGATCTCATTCAACAGATGCTGTATTCTATATATCCTGCTATACATGGGATGTACATGCTGTACATGACCACCACAGCCACGAATAACTTTTGCTACATTTCTAAGTCTGTAAGCTCAGGAACTCAGCGCTACCAGAGAATGTGTCGTATTCAATTTTCCTCTGCATTAGGAACAGAAATAAATCTCAGTGTAGATGTGGCAGAGAGGGTCAGAAATCCCACCAGACGCTGCGCACGGTGTAGCTGAGGTCCGCAGGGCAGGCAGACTTCTGAGTAAAGTCACGAAGAGGAATGATGCTGCTGCTGCTTTGCAGCTAGAAATCGCAAAGCACAAGAGGTGGTTACTGACCCCGCACCTGACAGAGAAGTGGCGACTGAACTCGGATCCATTTTTCTTACACCAAATACAAGAGCGTGCCTGCGACAGACGCAGGGTGTTTTCCTCGAGGTTGCACTCTGAATAGAGATTGCACCATGTAAAAATCACTGTGGCCAAAGGAGTGGTTTTTCCCTTGTATTCAGAAGCCAAATTGAAAGAGAAAGAATTTCAAAATGCTTGGGTTTGTACCCAACAATACGTCCACTGAGTTTATTTTTCACTGTCGTTATAGCTGTAGTTGACAGGACGCCTTCTCACCCGTGCCGCGAGCCTGACCAAATGGGCACACCTCCACCCTCAGATATGTTCTGTTAAACTCTTTATTTTCAAACTGTTCCTTGAAAGTCAAATAAATCCTAGTCTCTTCCTAGGAGGCTAAAAATTAGAGCTGTAACTACAGAATTAAATAACTGTAGAATTAAATTTGTTGACACAAAAAAAAAAAACCCCAACATAAGTGAGACCCTGGCATAAGCTTGCAAACACTCCCTACTTCTACTCATTTAGAGTAGCTTCTACTCATCATTTAGAGTCCACAGATATCACAGCTGAATAATTAAATAAAACTAAATCAGGATTTGGTCGTGACCTAGCACAGTGTGGCTCGAATCCATTCCTCTTTAATAAATAGTGAAATGCTTTTGTCAAAGTTTTGGCATTAAGACACAGCATAACAAAACTGGCTTTTAGTGGCAATATGATTTCTCAGTGTCTTCTTTAATAATTAATTTTGGGAACATGAGGAAAATATTTTTTTGTTTTGGTATAAAGGGGGGGAAAAGATGAGGAAACCTTAATACCTATATTCTGTAAGACACCAGCAGTACTGTGCTTTAACTGTGGTATTTTCCATGTAACAATTTAGTGAAGAGTGCAATTCCTGACTTTAACAGGGAAGAGATATTTTCTGCTTTTATTCTGTACTTTTCTGAAAACTGTTTTATTCAAATTTCTGTTTATTAAAAGCTAGTATGGAAGTGATTACTGTTTTGGACTCATATCCAATCTCACACATCTTGCACACAGATACGAAGTCATTACTGGTATTTACAAATGTTTGTAAACATGATTAGACCTGGATCCATACAGGTTTGTCCCTTATACTTAACGTATAGTTAAAATACAACTAAACCCATAGCTTTGAACAGCTGCAGGGAAAACAAACAATGAAACCAAAATTAATCAAGGCTCTCAATGGGTCTAATTCTGCATTGCTGGGATTTTTTGTCAGTGAAGTATGCCCTGTGAAAAACTCACACAAGCCCATCCCCGATGTGCATACTTTATGCCTGACATATGTTGTACTCTATATACCCCCGCCTCCTCGAACCGTCCACATCTCCCCAAAATATGTACTGTCAATGTTAAATAAATAACATCATAATAATTTTTTTAAAAGAGAGCTTTTCATGTCGCAGGCGTATGCCACATACACAGGCAAGGTGGGTGCATGTCGGAGTGCCGCAGCTCCAGGTTCCCAACAGCACCATCACTCTGCTTGCATACAGTTTGCAGCATATACGTCCTTTAGTATTACATATAAATAAATTCAAGCTACTGTATATTCAACAAAGTATTCCATGCAGAATAGAGTACAAGTAATAATAAAAACTGTTCATCAGTGGAAACGTGAAGTCCTGCACAAACAAAATCTAATCCCTGCGACGCCCCCGCAAGCTACGGCACAACAACCCGTTTAACCGGCAAAGGATCGGACTACCCACAGAAGGCTGATGCAAAATCAAAACTTACGTTTCTGGCTACAAACCCTCTGCTCAACTTCTAGGATCCAGCTACTATCTGTATCACAACTTTTAAACATGCTTGCGTATTACTGTACTCATACCGGGAAAAGAGAGTATTTCTGTAACTACCCGCAAAGTAGATCTGCTGGTGACCGTACGGGTGCCTGGTCAGGCTGAATAACGGAGGAAGCGCAAGACGGGTTTATTTCCCTTTTATCTCCAAATCCACACCAAGGAATGACACTGCAAAGCGCTCAGATAGGTCTAGCTTCCAACCTGCCTGCGGTGCTGACACGTGGGTCACCCAGTACAGGTACCCCAGCCTTCGCAGACTACCGGGTCCAGCTGCCTCTACCACCTTATAGCAGCAAGAAAAATCAGCTGGTAATAGCTGTTTGCAAGACAACTCTGAAGAAGCTTTAGGCTGTGTGCAGAGGGTGCTGATGGACATGACTTCACTTGGATGGTTGCAGCCCAGGAGCTGCAATGCCACGTCACCGCTGTGCTGCTCACGATGCATCAGCTATCCCGCCTGTAGTCAGCAACCGGCTGCATCTAGCGGGCTGACAGCACAGGCAGAGGAACAGGAGAAACACGGGTACGCTTTATTATTTGCAAATGCCTTCCCTCTTTTATCCGAGCTTTCTTCTCCTCCCATTGCATTTCGTAGCAATAGATGTTGGCTCCAATCCCATGGAATTGCTTTCATGTACAATTTTTAAAAATATTTTTTTATATATCAGATTTCCAGCTAGTTTTTAAAGGTTGCGGAAAGCAAGCAGCATCTTGGGTGTATCGCCACTCTCACATCTTTGTGGATCACTTCAGCACAGCTCCGCTTCAGCCGCTGCTACGCAACTTGCAGCACATGCCAACTTCTTTTGGCTGGGTGGACAGCAAACCCAAGCCCAGAGAGATCTCCAAACGCCTATTTTTCTACACAACACCTGATCAAAGTCTAGAAAAGGAAATGTTCAAAGCCAGGGAACTAGCTACCTCACCTCTGGAAGAAAGCGATAGCATCAAACTACAGTTAAAGCACAGACGTGGCAGCAATATGGGATGTTTCTGGCTGAAACCCATCTCGGGACCGGACACAGGATGGGATCTAAGAGCAGGCAGCGAGGGCGTTCTGCAGCCACCCTTTCCCCCGGCGCTGGTGCTGTGGGGACCAAGGTGCGGGCACGAGGGAGGGCAGAGGCGCATCTCCCAATCTCCTGCAACGTCTCCTGCAGGATGATGCTGGGGAACAGGAAGAGTGGCCGGAGCAACCAACAAGCGACTGGTTTTCCCGGCTACTTAAAAAGGACCTACCGCAGAGCCACGGCAATTCAGAGCGGCCCCAAGGCTGCTCCGCATTTTGCCAAGGGCATCTGGGCAACCAAAGGGTTAGGAGCTGCTTGTGGGGTGTTTTGTTGGATGTGAGCTGGTTTAATTAGCAACACGTATTTACAGTCAAATGTTTTATATATAATTTTAATATATAACCAAATAACTTTAAAGCAGGCAGAGGATTTTCTTTGTTGCCATGCCACGATACATGTCTTTCCCCATTAGCTCAAGAAAAATGAGGCAGGAGGTCTAAACATGTGGCTAGCAGAGCATGGTTTCTCTACTGTCCTCTTTCCAAGCAGTCATTTAGATCAATAACTACTTGTGTTGGCAATAATCAAGCCATGCATCTCTTTCAAGTTATTTTTGGAAGCATTCAAAGCAGCAAAGATCACAGAGCAATGGACATGGAGAAAATACTGCAATTTTCAGAGTATGTCATACTCAATTTCTGAAACCTTGGCCTGCTTTTTTTCTTTAATCAAACTGGAATGTTGTTATGAAAATGTGCTAAGGGCCATAGGATGCCCTTGGAAGGAAGCGGGTGAGGAGCAGGCTGCTGCGGCGAGCTCTGCGGTAGCATACCTTTGAAACACGACTCGTGACGGAGGAGCTGGTTAACTCCCCCCAGCACGTCTGGAAACCAGCAGGACACAAGCCTCCCGCTTCTAACCACCCAAGTCCATCGCTACCTCCAGTCCTTTGCTGTCTTCAACACCCTGATCACGATTTAAGTTTTCCCGCACCGCTCCCTTGCAACTTTGATTTCACGTTGACAAATAAACACACTAGACCAGGGCAGGTAGGAGGAAAACCCTACCCATTCCTTTTCGCAGAATCACAGAATCACTAAGGTTGGAAAGGACCTTCAAGATCATCCTCTACAAGATTGCCAAGACAAACAAATGCTACACAGCCAGATCACGTTCATCGTTTTGGGCAACTGCAAAGATTTAGAAAGAGCCTTTCCTCATCCTTTTGTGTTTCCCCAGCGCCACGTGGCAGCAGTTCTCTCACAGACATGCCCTGCAAGGAAACGGAGGCAGTTTTGTGTGTTGTATTTGCAGCTTTTCCTTGACTTCATCACTCCCT